TGTTTTGTTTTGCGGAAGTTTCGCGTACACTTAGATTGTGGAAACTACCTGAGGATGTTTTGTATAAAGACTACAGCATGGGGTTTTTTAATAAGAGTTGATTCTTTTAGACCGTCAGCTTTTGTTTCTGTAATTTATCCATCAAACAAAATCCATCTCTCAAAGCAAGTTGATTGGCAGTTTAAATAGCTATTACCAGAGACTACATCATGAGGTTTTCAAATAAAGTTTCTTAAGGGTCTGCAAGTGCGCACGTGATGCCCCTGGCGTTACTCAGACCTAGTGGCAGAGTAGACCTTGACGCTATTTTAAATATAATAAAAAGTTACGTTCATTCATTAAATTAATTAAATATTGTTTCTATTCCATTTAGAACCCGATGAAAAGAGGCAGAAAGAACAACAGCTGAAAAAGACTTACCGTAAGCAGTTCTTGCTGAGGAAAATAGGCCTGCCCCCAAATAGCACTACGAAGAAGCGATTTCTCCATCAGTGGCCTGTTGAAGAAAGCTGGACTTTGGGTCTATATGATGATATAGGACTCTGAGAGTGAGACACGTTCCTGGGTGTGATAAAATCGGTATATTCAACTAGAAGAGCAAAAACGTCCCAGGAATATGGCATTAAAAAACAATGGGTATATAAAAACAGAACGTCAAAATATAAAATACAAACTACAGGCATTAGAGTAAAAACAAAAAATGGTTAAATCAATCCCTCACGATTGTGCGCGTTGCCTTTCCCGCGGTCCTGATAGCGAGAAAGAACGTGTCTTGTAAAGACAGATAATAAATAAAGGGAAAAACACACATGTTTATTTATTTTTACATAAACACTACTTTGTAACCATCAATCATCTCATCATCATCATCAACGTCAACATCTGAAAATTTGCCATCAGACATAATTGAGTTGGTACAGATGGTAACTTAAAATATACCTAATGAGACGGTCGTCTATCCAAATAAATAAAATTGAAGTGTACGGTTGTAATTTCAAATTAAATGTTTTTCACTAAATGCATATGAATATACGGTAGTTCCATCAAAAAACTTTTAAAACTTGTCTGTCTGTTTTTTCTTGTTGAAACTCTTGAACAGATTTTGATGATACTTTCTCTCGCAAAAAGTTAATGTTAAAAGTAGTACTTACTTAGGCTACTTTGCTTTATTGTCTTTTTTTGTATTTATTAAAAAAAAAGCTAATTTCCACGCAGAGGATGTCGCGGTTAGCAGCTAGTTTTTTACCATTTACCATCAGATGGGCCGTATGCTTGTTTGCCACCATAGTAGTAAAAAAAAAAAATTTCATTCATTTTTATAGAGGTTTATAAATACATTATTTAAATAATTAACCGGGTCTTAACACGAATAATTTTATGGCAAATACCAAAAGGTTACCTCTCTCGACTAGGTTGCACTAGCCGTGGTCACGAGCAGTTAATAATTTAAATAATGTATATTAAACATTTTGTGTTTAATATAATTTAGAAATAACTAGAGGTTTATACGTCAGTTTTACCTATTTCCGTCGCCAAGCAACTTGCTTTGTAAGCTGTTTCGGTTATAGCATGCAGATTAGGCAGTAAAATTACAGGATAAGAGACGTGACATCTTAGGCTTTTGGAATGACAACGAGTGAGTACCGCGAGCGTCACACGATGACGGTGTCCAGGATTTTATAAATTATTATCAAATAATACATTATAATTAACAACTATAAAGTTGACCGTTTACTATCAGATGGACCGTATTCTTGTTTGCCACCTACGTATAAAAAAAAATTTTTTTAGTAATATCATTGTCTGTTTTGTTTCTCTTCTCTATCATTCTCAATCTATATTAAACTTTGTGTGTTTATGCTAAATTTAGCTGCTTGTCTATAGTTTAAATAAAGTTAGATTTGAAAATCATAATAATAAATGTTTTGGTAATAGATTTTCAAAATTAGATCGTTAATTAAAAGGCGACTAAAACAAATAATCAGTAGGCGCTGAACATTTTATTATTATTATATAATTACTGAACATTACAGTGCCCAAAGAGGTACGATTTAAGCGACCTTATATGCTACTCTATGTAAGTGTAATTGCCACATCTCATCGATTTTCCATCCGTAGTCGAGCGACCAGTAGAATAGAATAGAATATCATTTATTCAAATAAACTTACATTGAAGCACTTTTGAATAGTCATATTCAGTTTATTATAGTTAGTTTATTTTATACTTTCTTAAATGTAGAAGAGGGATGATCTCTCTAAATTACAAGGGTACGACTTAAGCGACCATACTTGAAAGTGAAATTACCACATCTCATACAGATTCCAGCCTATTTAAATCTCTTTAAATTTAGAGGGGCGATGATCACTCTAAATTTAAAAATACGACTTAAAGGAGGTAGGTGTATTAAATGTAGGTGAAATTACCACATATCATCCGTATACAATTTTGATTGGGGGCTATGACCCCTCTAAGTTTAAAGGGTAAGATTTAAGCGACTTAAAAGTGTAATTGCCACATCTCATCGATTTTCACTCCGTAGTCGAACGACCAGTAGAATAGAATAGAAAATAATTTATTCAAATAAACTTACATTGAAGCTCTGTTGAATAGTCATATTCAGTTTATTTTATACCTCCTTAAATTTAGAAGAGGGATGATCTCTCTAAATTACAAGGGTACGACTTAAGCGACCATACTTGAAAGTGAAATTACCACATCTCATACAGTGGCCAGTCTATTTTAACTCTTTTTAAATTTAGAGGGGCGATGATCACTCTAAATTTAAAAATACGACTTAAAGGATCTTACATGTAGGTGAAATTACCACATATCAACTGTATACAATTTTGATTGGGGGCTATGACCCCTCTAAGTTTAATGGTTAAGATTTAAGCGACTTAAAAGTGTAATTGCCACATCTCATCGATTTTCACTCCGTAGTCGAACGACCAGTAGAATAGAATAGAAAATCATTTATTCAAATAAACTTACATTGAAGCTCTGTTGAATAGTCATATTCAGTTTATTTTATACCTCCTTAAATTTAGAGGGGCGATGATCACTCTAAATTTAAAAATACGACTTAAAGGATCTTACATGTAGGTGAAATTACCACATATCATCCGTATACAATTTTGATTGGGGGCTATGACCCCTCTAAATTTACGGGGTACGACTTAAGGGACTTTAAAGTAAAATTACCACATCTCATCGATTTCCCAACCGTAGTCGAGCGGCCACAGTCTATTGTAGACCTTCTTAAATTTAGATGGGTCATCGTAATAGCCTTTATCGCCTCCGCCCTTATTCATAGCATCGCGTATCTTCTTCAATATCTTCATTCGTTTCTTTCTCTCCAATTCCTGTTGCTGCTCTATCATTTTTAGTCTCTCCTGCGCTTTATATATTTGCTTTAAATCCAGCGTCTTGTCTGGCACTAGTTGGACAAACTCCGTCTTGCTTTGATACTTTCGTGGAATCTCGTTCATCATTTCTATGAGGTGATACGTTTCAAAGTATAATTTCTCCACTAATTCTGTCCTTTTAATTGTAGCAAATACACCGTGGGACCTGAACTCCATTGGTGCTTTAGCGGTCTCAACCATTCTTCTGTATCTACGAATATAATACTTAGGACTATTGACACAGCTCCATCTAGTTCCAGAGCTTCAAAACTTCTGGGTACTAGACAACTGATCATACTCAAAACGCGATGTACTAACTAACCTGACCTTATGCTCATCTTATCATCCTCCACTGGTGCTTTACTATATGCATATGAATATAAATACGGTATATAAATACACCAAATTATTATTTTTTACAATTTTTGTCTCTTTGTTTCCGCTAATCTCTGAAAGGGCTGGACCGATTTTGACGGAACTTTTTTGGCAGGTAGCTGATGTAATAAGGAGTAACTTAGCTACTTTTATTTTAGAAAAATTCTCTAATTAACTTTTTTTTTTTGTTAATTAAAATATCCTATTGTTACGTCGGACAAAGTCGCAGCGTACACTTAGATTGTGGAATGAACTACCTGCCGAGTTCGAGAGATAAATAAAATATCAAAGCTGGTGTTTACTATTGTTACGTCATGCTTGTTTGGTGTATAAAAAAAAAAAAAAAAGATTTCAACCTTCAAGTTTAAAAGGCCTGCAACGCACTTGCAATATCCCTGATGTTAGGGGCGGGGTTAATCACTTACCATCAGGCGAGCCGCAAGTTTGTATTATGCTATAAAAACAAATTACCTTTCTACAATCTCCCCCATTATATATCCCATCTCATAATGAGGAGATTCCTCATACATGAACCTCATGTGGTTCAAATTGTGGATCCTTTGGGTGGCCTCTTCATGGTAGCTGGTCATGATCTGCAGGATCCTGTGAGGGACTTGTCTAGCGTTGTCATCCTTATCATATCTTTTATGGTAAAAGTCCTGGTTCTGATACGACAGTTGTAAAATTCCTTGAATGTAATAAAATAATATTTGACATAAATCAACATTCGTCATTGGGTTGCCTATTGGTCATACTCGTGAACGAGTACTGCTTGTATTTAGTTACTCAACCAGTTGGTTGTGCATTTAACATTTTGACTGTAATGAATTAGTGCTAGTTGGTAGTTTGTATTCACACGTTTCAACTTAAAAATGTAAAGTTGCAACAGTTATTTAAAAGAGCAACATTTCTCTCTGTTTGGGCCCTCAGTTTGTTTGCCATTATAGTTATATAACAAAATCTAGAATGTTCATTTAGCTCACCAATGAATATAAGAAATAATTCGTACTCCATCGCGTCTCGCTTCTATCGTCCACTGAAATAATGCAATTAATTTTATTACCAATAACCAAGTTTTATTATGAGTGCGTTGTGGCGTAGTGGTTTATTACACCTTTACCAAAAAGAGACGGGTTCAAATCTGGAGAAGTTTGTCAATTTCTATTTCGGACTACCAAATTCACTGTGCTCTCTAGGCACGCCGTTAACAAACAGAACTTTGTGTTAATTACACAGTTTCCTACCTCATATTTACTGTGCTCTTTAGCAACGCCGTTAACAAACTAAAAGACGGCAGAAGGGTCACTCCGTCGTGTAGCAATTCAATTGTTTTACATGACTTTGTGTACATATAAGTTTTATCTTGTAACAAACATGCCCTGCCGTTTTCGGCGTGTACACAAGCTCTGTTTATCTTGGGACTAGATGGCGCTGTGTCCATTATTCAAATTTATTATGATTGACAAATATTAATCACAACAGTCATAATTATGATAAAATTGTAATTATATATTACTGCCATTTCATTGTTGCCGTTTGTATTTTCATTGTAGGTATACGGTAAGTCAGTCTGTACAACCGTTAGCATTTTACACAGCACAGCATCCATATAACACCCAAACATACCATTTTCGCTTCACACAAGGATGCATGAGTCAGTACAACCAAACATTCAGTCCACACAACTAAACATAACTAAGAGGCAGAGCGTGAATTTGTGGGGTCTCCGCTACATCTACTTAGGAGCCTACTAAAAAAAATACACCGACCAGAATTTCTCCGTTTCTTTCGATAGACGCGCACTTGCATGAGTTGAGGCGCAAGTGGGCCACCGCCGCCGGAGTTGCGGTAGAATGTTCGATCCCGCGACTCCGGCTTAGTGAGGGACATCAATGCCAACCCGCGGGCTTCCCCCGGGGCCGGCCTTGAGGGATGATAGGTTTGCCAACCTTATGATAGGTTTGTTAATAGTCTATATATTTTTTTATATTCCAAATATCGTTTCAGTGGGGACTGGGGGCCCTTTGTATCCTCCTCGGGGCTCTGGGCTGCAGCCCAAAAAGCCCTTAGATAGGTCCGCCCCTGTTCAGTACACACAACCAACCACTCTCATTATGTCTTCAAAATCATATTAGCAAACAGTCCGTATAGTTTATCATTTACACAACACCGTAGCATCCACATTGTATGGATCATAGAATAGAATATATCTTTATTGCTAACTGTGTGAGTACATTTTTTGTAGGTGGTATAACAATATATATAGTTTATTATTGTCACAGCAGACTCATACAATAAATTACTTTTCTTATCCGTTGTTCAAATCATCTCACACATACAGTCCACACATTTTAAATGTTTGCATCGCTAGACCACCGAGGGCGTCCAGACTGATGGAAGAATGATGGGTATTCTTGGAGAATGGAGTTAAAAAATATCAATATTTGTAATTTCTACCATTTATTATACAATTACGATAGATTTTAGAAGGAAAAAACTTCAATATATCAATTTGATATACCGAATACTTTATATAATATAAACACTTATGTATTCTTAATTACGAATCTAAATAAATCGTAAATAATTCGCTTTATATTACATTAGTATGATGCGATTAAGTTATCGAGTACATGCGCCGTTAGCAATATATCTTTATACAATAACTCTGTAACCTGTACACGTTTTTATACAATTTGAAATTAGTTTTTATTGTTTTATACAAAAAAGTTACAATGCAACGTTTTAGAAGCCGAATATTTTGCACAGATAATTCAGTTATTAATAATTATTACACCAAAAGAAAAAGAAATAGCTAACAATCAAAAATATTTTCGGTCCACACAATTTCTTGATTTACAAACGATTTGCCTTATACCCTTTTATTTGTAGCGCTATCACAGAATGCGACAAATTACCTATTCGAATTTTGGCTCTTATCATCGTCTGTACATCTGCAATCTTCTGTGATAGAATCTAAAGACATTAGACTTTCTTGAGAAGTTCTAAAGCAGGCGCGGCATCTCGAGTCTACAGAGTTACCGCTCTGTGAGTTGGCATCTTCAGAAACTGACTCTAGTGATCTTAGACTCTCCACTGAGGTAAGTTTATAAGACCTCCTAAACTCCGCTATCTCTTCCTCACTCATATTCAACGCGAGTAAGGAATCTCGCGCAATCTTCCCCAATGATGACACTTTCTTTTTCTTCTTAAACAACATGGAGTCCATTTTCGACAAAGGTGATGGCTTATTCAAACTTTCTGGCAACGATTTCGGACTAGATCCACTTCTAGTCCGCAGTCTAGATCTTCTTTCAGGTATATCTCTGGGCGTCGTTACTATTTCAGGCACTTTAAACACTATAGTTTTCGTTTTAGGACCTACCTTCTCTTCTGTAGAAAGGTCTTCTAAAGAGTTGGCTTTCTTTAATTTTGCTCTTTCTGGTATAACCGGGGACGTGTTTAAACCTTTAATATCTTTCGCCGTGAAAACCTCGGGTACTTCAACTGCATCGTCAATGACCAGTTCAGGTGATAAATCCAACATCTCCTTAATTTCAGCCTCTTTTAACTCCTGCGCTAAAGACCCTTGTTGTTCTTTGGTATGGATAGCTTGCTCCACACCCGGTTCAAAGTCCTGGTTTTCATATATTAAATATGACAATGCATCTTTGCCTAAATCAACATTTTCTAAATCAGTACTGATTTGTATTACTTTATCGTCAAATCTTTTAGCGTCATCTGCTGCACCTTCAAGGGATGTCACTCCGCTGTCAGCAGAAGTGTTCGGATCATCAAACTTTGCGTCGTCAATATAATCAATAACTATATTGTCATCGTCACATGTTTCTTCGATGGTCGCTATCGGCGCCAATTCGGTCAGTTGTTTCACATTGTCTACTTTACACTCAGCCTTTTCAAGTAAAGGCATCGAGACATCCCAAACAGTATTTACAATCGGCTGGTGCATCACTTGTCTATCAGATAACTCTGTAGCTAAAGCCTTAGTATTACTCATACTAGAAGTCAATGTGTTTTCTGGGCTTATATTCTCTTTAATACCTCTTATTACTTTATTTGGTAATTTGTCTACAGATTGACCACTTTCAGGACTACTTTGTTTGTCTAAAGAATTTTCAGATCCGGAAGATTTCAGGACCGCTGCAAATGATCTAGGTCTGACTGGGTCTTCTTTTGTCTCGACCTTTTCAACTTTTTCCTCAGTTTCTTTATTTTTGTTGCTGTCGCCTGCAGCTGTGTTTACAACATTTTTATTTAAATCGTTGGGTTTATTGAGATCTATGTTATCACTAGCTCTAGGCTTATTGCCGTTGGAGCTCGCATCCGTTTTACTTACATCTAAATATTTTTGTACTAAATCGGTGGTTAATTCGGTAAGTCCATCTTTATCTTCAGATGTTTCACTTTCAGGTTGGAAGGTTTGAAATTCACTTAAGGTATTATCTGTATCTGTTGATGGTGTTTTGCTGTCCAATTTTTTGGAGAATGACTCATCGACGAAGGAGACTTGTATACGTTCTGATAGAGTAGAATCGGTAGCTTCAGAGGAATCTTCTTTGTCTTCCTTCTCTACTTTATCAGTTGTACTTCCCCATGACCAGAAAGAGCTGGTTAGGGAAGAATCTTTTCTTGGAGGTGTGTTCGAAGCAGACTTCTTTTCTTCGTCGTTTGAAGAATTTCGGGAAAACAAAATACTTGGATGTTGAAATAAACTCAGCAATTTTTCGAGATTGGATGGTAGTTTAGTCTCTTTTTCTGGCTCTGGTCGTGGGATATAGAAGCTAGGAGATGGAGCAACCCATGACATCTTCTTAACTCTATCCAAACCTTTACTTTTTAAAGCAGGAACATCTAATAAACTGGAAGTCCTTTTGGGGGATGTTAAAGTATCATGTAAATGAACACTATCGGTTTTCTTCACAGATTCCTTTAAACTGGAAGTGTTTGTTAGAGTTCCCTCATTAGAAGAATCATCTTCTTTGTTTTCCGATGGATTTTGTAAAGAATATTCAATGCCTGAATCTGCTGAAGTAACCATTACTCTTTCCTGTTTTCCAGAATCGAGAGAACTAACACTGGCCTCCAAACTAGACAATGAGTCATGTGTCTTTCTACTCTTTCCAAATATAATAGGAGACACACTCTCGTTGGAACTAACCGACATGTTTAAGAAGTTCCCGCTGTTCACTGGTGTTGCTTCACTGGTATTTGATTCTATGCTACTTTCCGTTGACAACATAACATGATCGGGTTTTCTCCTATCTAATTCTGTATCGCTCTCCGTAGATTCCTGTATTATTATGGGTTTCACCATCTGTGTATTCTGCTGATTGTCTAAAGTGTTCAAACTCTCTACCGAGCTACCAGAAATCTCCAAAGACGAACTACTGTCACAAAATGGACTACCAACCAATTTCTTATTCATAAGTCTAGAAACTTCCAAATCGGGACTATCTAAACTGGACTCACTCTTATTCTTCTTAAGAACTACATTATCTCGTATAACATTAGCAGGTACATTTTCAAAATTTAACTTATTTACATCAACCATGTCTGTTTGTGTGCAATCACTTTTAACGTCCTTCCTTAAAACTGCTGTTTTTGTTGAGAAATCTTTCATTTCTTGGATTAAGTTGCCTAAATCCTCTGTGATTGCTTCAATCTGTTTCATAGCGGTTTCGTCGCGTTTCTCTTTATTTACACTGACATCATCATCAATATTACTAAATTCTTTATCATTTTGGTCACTATTCACTTTGGCAGGTGTCTCAGTTTTAACTGTAACCTCAACTTGAACGTCTGTTTTTTCATTTTCATTAATTTCTATAGAATTACTAACTAACTTAGTCTCCGTTTTAAGTATTTCAGCATTATCTATTACACTAACTTCTTCATTATGAGCTAATTGTTCAGTTTTGTCCTTATAAGTCTTTTTGTCAGATTTCACTATATCACTATAGGTTTTAACTTTCACTCTATCACTATCAGCGTCACTTTTAATACTTTCACTATCACTGTCAGCAACAGTTTTGGCATCACGTCCTACGTTTTGTTCAATTTCTATACCACTGTCGAGTTGCGGTTCCATTAGGTTTAGTTCCTCTGGAATTTGTGATTCTATACATTTCGATTCAGTCTCAATATTATTTGGAGATGTCTCCAAATCTGAATTTGCTCGAGTATTAGTCACACACTCGGCATTATTCTGATCTATATCTGTTGTTTCAAATTGATCAATTTTAACTACAATAGGGTTAATTATAGTTACTATTTCTGGATTAAGTATATTATTATCTTCGGGTGCATTAGTTTGTATTACTTCTGCGGTATGTGTAGAGTTAGGCACGTCAAAATCAGGCCCAATCTCAGACTTAAATATATTCGTTGTATCGTCAATCCTCAATTCAGACTCAGATGGAGTACCAGACTCGGGTGAGGATGACTCTGGGGTATCGGTTAGATCGAATTTAGATGAATATTGCGGTATGGGCGTAGACGGTGGTCTACGTTTGACAATTTCCGGTCTATCTGGTGTCAATTCGCTTGGACTTATCGATATGTTAGGCAGACTCGACGTAAACTCCGGCTGATTAGATATTTTTATGGGCTGACTGACGGCAATATCGGTTCTTTTTACTACCTCTATATCTCTAGAGGCTAGTTTACTACCTCCACCCTCGAGATGGGTAGTAGCTTTATCGGGCCGAAGGTTCGAGTCGATGGTAGGTGGTGGAGAAGGTACTGACTTGGGGTTGTACACAGAATCGTAGTTCCTGGTGACGGAGAATCTGGAGGCACTCCGTCTTGGTTGACTCGTCGCTGGGTGCACTTGGATTTGTGGTGGTTCCGCTACCTGTGAACATATATACTAGCATGAAATCATTTATTGAAAAAAGCCTAATACTAACTAAACAAGTACTTGACAATGCTATAACTAACGTGCATGGCCATAGCTGTTCATGCACGGGATTTTCATTCAATGTTAGACATAGACATCTACATGAGTAAGCAATGTAAATAAACGTCCTTTCAAAAATAAAGAAAACCAGTTGAGTTTCTTGCCAGTTTTCAATTGAATCTGTATACTGAACTGAATACAAAAAACTTATGATGCTAGAGAAAAAATATTATAAAATGTCCTACATAATTAAATTATTATTGATTTGATTTGATGATGATAGTACATACCTGCACGACTCGGAATCTCGACGGGGTGTGGCAGTACGGTGGACTTTTGGAGCTGTCCACTGCCGGCCGTTCGGGAGTCACCCGGCTCACCTGTAAACAACGTAACGTGACGCTCTCAGTGGTCTAGCGGTTTGACGCATCACCGGGTTCTATTCTATTAAATACAATTATCTTGGTTTTTTTTTATAAATAGATAATCATTTATCGCCAAGATTAAGAAAAACCATACAGCTGGAGGAGCTGCCTCAGCTGTTGTTGATATAAGCACAACCTCAATGAGCTCCACCGATACAGCGCTGGTTTTGAATTTGACATGACAGGTTCTCGCCGTCTGCTCGATTAATCAGTGTTACGGGTGTGTACATGAGCGGGGGCACTCACCGAGAACCTGGAGGCGTGGTGCGGGGCGGGCACGGGGCTGCCGGCCGGGGAGGGCGCGGGGGACCGCAGCCGCGCGCGGGGCTCCTCCTCGGGGCCCAACGAGGCTCCGGGGCCCAGCCCGCCCGCACCCGGCGCGCCCGATGCCGTACTCTATACACGGTACATATAACAATGAGACAGAAATACACACGCTGACCACTTAATTACGTCAATCGCAGCCTCAGAAGACATAAAAAAAAACATTATATGAATGCCCCAGTGCTCATTAAAAAAGTAAATGAAGCGAAGGTCATTGACATTCATTATTTGAATTTGACGTACATTCGAAATTGATTGAAACGTCAGTATAACTTTTTTTTTATCAATATATTTTACGGTTTTGGATACAAGTCCTTTTTAGCCCAACTTAAAGTTTTAATATATAAATGTACGTCATTTATTGCCATGTACACGTACATTGATTACTAAATCTTAAAATTTAGTAATCAATGTACGTGTACATGGCATGGCATGGCATGGTGACAGCATTAGAGTAGTCCGAAAAAAAGGCGAGGCGTGGGACCTTACCCTGGCGAGGCAGGCGTGCGAGGTGTGGCAGGTGAGGCTGATCTTGCGATGCAGGCGCGTGTCGGGGGAGGCGGCGGCGTCGTTGCGGCGGCAGGCGGCGCGGATGGCGCGCGTCAGCCGCGACAACCCGCCCGCTTCCGTTTCCGCTTCCGCGCCCGCTTCCGCGTCTGTCTCCTCTGTCTCCGATCGCAACTCCGCCGGCAGCTCCTGTAATGTGTAAATCAATGATATACATTAATAATTAATAGAGCAAAGGAACGAAAATTGTCTACAACAGAGTGCTTTAATTATGTAATGTTATGTTTTTTTTTCACTGTTTGCGATTTTCACATTGCACACCCGTTTACTTCCGATGGTCACGGGTTCGAATCTTCGATTCATGAGCATGATTGTTTGTATTGGTCTGAAAGAATAGAATAGAATAGAAAATCATTTATTCAAATTAACTTACATTGAAGCTCTTTTGAATAGTGATCACATTTTTTTAATCTATCGCTCATTCGGAAAGATGTCTCATCACAAGAAGAACTTGACTGTTGCTCTTTTATATACCTAGTACATTTACAAAATATAAATTATCTAGTACCCATAACACAAGCTTTAGCTGGCCTAACTTGGATCTAGATGGCGCTGTGTGAATTGTCCTGAGATTATTATTATTATTAATTGTAATGTATTAAAAACGGTGGATTTGCAATTTTCACACTGCACATTTACTTCCCATGGTCGTGGGTTCGATACCTCATACGGTACAAACATTTGTATTCAAGAGCTTGATTGTTTGTATTGAACGGAATAGTAGTTATAATAAGTACATGGAAATAAAATAAACACAATAATATAAACACCATTACCGGTGGGTCGTCCAGATCTATCTGTGTGAGCGTATGGTTGTCCTTCATAGCTGCAAGTAGAGCTTGCAAACCGGTCACGCCCAGTCGGTTGTCTCGAAGGTCCAGCCTCTGTAAACACAGATCAACTTTATATAAAACAAATACAGAACATAGGAAATGTGCATCAAGTTTTTGTCATATAACAAAACTTGTACCAGCACTACTAAAGTAGAATGAATCTCTGTAAGGAGGGGGGAGATACAAATGACAGTCATTGACATTCGTTATTTGAATTTGGCGCGCATTTCGAGTTGTATAATTTTTTTTACTCAGTTTATGCTTTAAGAGAATGGCTAAGGTAACTGTGTCTATACAGCCATGTCTGCATGTTTTTGATATTCTTAATTTTCTTAGTTTCTACATCTTGAATTGTTAAGATAATAGGTATATATGTCGGGCCCGAGCCGCGCGGCCTGCAGCCCGAGCGAGGCGAGGCGGGCGCGTGTGTACCGCGCCCCGTGTACTGTGTACTGTGTACTGTGTACTGTGTACTGTGTACTGTGTACTGTGTACCTGCAGGGCCGTGTCCCGCCGCAGCAGGGCCGCGAGCGCGGGCGCGGCGTCGGGCCCGAGCCGCGCGGCCTGCAGCCCGAGCGAGGCGAGGCGGGCGCGTGTGTACCGCGCCCCGTGTACTGTGTACTGTGTACTGTGTACTGTGCACTGTGTACCTGCAGGGCCGTGTCCCGCCGCAGCAGGGCCGCGAGCGCGGGCGCGGCGTCGGGCCCGAGCCGCGCGGCCTGCAGCCCGAGCGAGGCGAGGCGGGCGCGTGTGTACCGCGCCCCGTGTACTGTGTACTGTGTGTGAGATTGCACTGTTATTATTAATTGTCCCGCCGCAGCAGGGCCGCGAGCGCGGGCGCGGCGTCGGCCCGAGCCGCGCGGCCTGCAGCCCGAGCGATGGCGAGGGGGGCGCGTGTGTACCGCGCCCCGTTTACTGTGTTCTGTGTACTGTGCACTGTGTACCTGCAGGGCCGTGTCCCGCCGCAGCAGGGCCGCGAGCGCGGGCGCGGCGTCGGGCCCGAGCCGCGCGGCCTGCAGCCCGAGCGAGGCGAGGCGGGCGCGTGTGTACCGCGCCCCGTGTACTGTGTACTGTGTACTGTGTACTGTGTACTGTGTACCTGCAGGGCCGTGTCCCGCCGCAGCAGGGCCGCGAGCGCGGGCGCGGCGTCGGGCGCGAGCCGCGCGGCCTGCAGCCCGAGCGAGGCGAGGCGGGCGCGTGTGTACCGCGCCCCGTGTACTGTGTACTGTGTACTGTGTACTGTGTACCTGCAGGGCCGTGTCCCGCCGCAGCAGGGCCGCGAGCGCGGGCGCGGCGTCGGGCCCGAGCCGCGCGGCCTGCAGCCCGAGCGAGGCGAGGCGGGCGCGTGTGTACCGCGCCCCGTGTACTGTGTACTGTGTACTGTGTACTGTGTACCTGCAGGGCCGTGTCCCGCCGCACCAGGGCCGCGAGCGCGGGCGCGGCGTGCCCGAGCCGCGCCATGCAGCCGAGCGAGGCAGGCGGGCGCGTGTGTACCGCGCCCCGTGTACTGTGTACTGTGTACTGTGTACTGTGTACTGTGTACCTGCAGGGCCGTGTCCCGCCGCAGCAGGGCCGCGAGCGCGGGCGCGGCGTCGGGCCCGAGCCGCGCGGCCTGCAGCCCGAGCGAGGCGAGGCGGGCGCGTGTGTACCGCGCCCCGTGTACTGTGTACTGTGTACTGTGTACTGTGTACCTGCAGGGCCGTGTCCCGCCGCAGCAGGGCCGCGAGCGCGGGCGCGGCGTCGGGCCCGAGCCGCGCGGCCTGCAGCCCGAGCGAGGCGAGGCGGGCGCGTGTGTACCGCGCCCCGTGTACTGTGTACTGTGTACTGTGTACTGTGTACTGTGTACCTGCAGGGCCGTGTCCCGCCGCAGCAGGGCCGCGAGCGCGGGCGCGGCGTCGGGCCCGAGCCGCGCGGCCTGCAGCCCGAGCGAGGCGAGGCGGGCGCGTGTGTGTACCGCGCCCCGTGTACTGTGTACTGTGTACTGTGTACTGTGTACTGTGTACCTGCAGGGCCGTGTCCCGCCGCAGCAGGGCCGCGAGCGCGGGCGCGGCGTCGGGCCCGAGCCGCGCGGCCTGCAGCCCGAGCGAGGCGAGGCGGGCGCGTGTGTACCGCGCCCCGTGTACTGTGTACTGTGTACTGTGCACTGTGTACCTGCAGGGCCGTGTCCCGCCGCAGCAGGGCCGCGAGCGCGGGCGCGGCGTCGGGCCCGAGCCGCGCGGCCTGCAGCCCGAGCGAGGCGAGGCGGGCGCGTGTGTACCGCGCCCCGTGTACTGTGTACTGTGTACTGTGTACTGTGTACCTGCAGGGCCGTGTCCCGCCGCAGCAGGGCCGCGAGCGCGGGCGCGGCGTCGGGCCCGAGCCGCGCGGCCTGCAGCCCGAGCGAGGCGAGGCGGGCGCGTGTGTACCGCGCCCCGTGTACTGTGTACTGTGTACTGTGTACTGTGTACTGTGTACCTGCAGGGCCGTGTCCCGCCGCAGCAGGGCCGCGAGCGCGGGCGCGGCGTCGGGCCCGAGCCGCGCGGCCTGCAGTCCGAGCGAGGCGAGGCCGGGCGCGGCGGCGGCGGCGAGGGCCCGCACGGTGTCTCCTCCGACTGCGTTCCGTCCGATGTTCAGTACGCACAGCGACGGGGACGACCGCTGAGGATCACCACACAGCGGTTTAAAATTACAGGACACAAAGATCAAATCGTTCATCATTCCAGAGGACAAGGAAGTCTTCTGGAAAGACACAATGAAATCCTTTTCTAGATTCCAATGGACAGAATGTGTACCTTCAATATATATAATTAAATTAATTTCATATATGTTATAGAATAGAAATAAAATAGACGACGTTAAGTTGTTTTTGCTTATAACACGCCCACGCGTGCGCAATTTTACCTGCATATGTGTGCGTGTTCAAATGCGTTTGAATATACGTGTGCACTTTCATGTGCGTGTGCGTGAGTTTATACGTGTGTCAGAGTGTGTGCGTGTGCGTGTGCGTGCGTTTATACGTGTGTCAGAGTGTGTGCGTGTGCGTGTGCGTGCGTTTATACGTGTGTCAGAGTGTGTGCGTGTGCGTGTGCGTGCGTTTATACGTGTGTCAGAGTGTGTGCGTGTGCGTGTGCGTGCGTTTATACGTGTGTCAGAGTGTGTGCGTGTGCGTGTATAAGTGCGTTCGTATGTGCGTGTATGTATGCGAATGTGTGCGTATTCAAGTGCGTGTACGTGTGCGTGCCTGCATTAGTATGCGTACATATATGCATGTGAGTGCGTGTTCTCATATGCACGTACACACACTCAACTGTCATGTTTGACTAATTTCTCAGTCGTGTGTGTGGATACATGTCTGAAACAAACAATAGCAATATCCAGGTATTATTGCTATTGTTTGTTTCTAATTCTTTATTGTACAGACAATGTATAAAGGAACACTTAATTAGTAAATAACTATGTACAACGGCGGACATATCCCAAACGAGAGATTACTATTGTAATATGACTCACCAACGCTCTGCTGAGATGGTGGGCACAGTTCCTCGTCAGTTGGTTATTCCATAACACCAGAAAGGCCAGTCCTCTCGCGTCGTGACCGCCCATCACTGAAATAAATTAGATGAACATTTACTTTAAAACTATATTTTTACAGACCATATTATTATTACAAATTTGAAAGTGGAGTCTACCAGTTTAGCACACAGCTTTATTTCCGATGGTCGTGGGTTCGTTTCCTCGCACGGTGTAATCATTTGCATTCATTTGTATGATTATTTGTAGCAGTCTGAATATTTTCTATGTATAGTATATATGTATTTACAAAAAAAGTATCTAGATATATTAGTTATCTAGTACACACAACACAAGCTCTGCTTAGCTTGGGATTAGATGGCGTTGTGTGAATTGTCCAAGGTTACTATAGTTTTTTTTAATAAACTAATAGTTCGCTATCCTGTCCTACTTGGGTCGGCCAAGTATGCTGATAGCAATAAATATAAATGTCAAGTGACTCACGGGAGCAGTGGTGCGAGTGTGGCGAGAGTGGCGACAGTGGTGAGAGTGGTGAGAGCGGCGAGGCGGCGGCCGACGGCGGCGTCTGCGCGGCCTGCTCCGCCAGCGCATCCGCCAACTGCGCCACACCTGAGTCCTGGAGACATTACAGAATAAACACATTACATATAGCGTTGTTGGCGACAGACCTTTTATCCAATCCGATGGATCCCCTATCCAACATCCAACGGGGATCGAAATTACGACGGCCGAGGTTCGAATCCTTAGCGGTGTCTTCAGACTGGCGTCGTATCCGTTAGGAGAAAGTTGTCCTTCAACCGCTCCAGAATACTTCCTTTGATTAGAATGGCATCTGTACTCGCCCGCTATCGTCCGTTGAAAAGGCCAGCTGCGGCCAACAGTGGCAGATTGCCGTCATCAGTTTCATAACCACAGGAACAATTAATATTTATATTAATTACAATATCATTCATATGTATGTTAGTCTATAAGGTATTTAGAATATGGACCATAAGTAGCCTTAATTAAATAAATAAATATGTGGTAACCGACGTGCGTTCAACAGGCATTCATGATGAACAGCTGTCATTCATGTTTTGGTGAATTATTTAAGTAAATTAGTACCTAAGTAGTAAAGTACTATAGTAGTAGTTTGTATATTTATGTTACTTAAATTATTCACAGGCACTTTAAATTACTCATTACAACGCTGAATTATGCATAATTGACATTTTAAATATATTTTATAATATCTTAAATGAAGTCTTTATTTTTCGGATATCGATTCACTATTTTCCTTTGTCGGAGTCGGATAATTAACCGTTATTCACCGCATTTTATCGGTAGCTAACCGTAAATTTGGTTAAGTACCCGTAGCTAACCGGTTTTTTACAGCTATAGTGGGCAACGCCGGTCATACCTGTATCTGGTTATTAGACAGATCCAGTAACTGTATCCTGGTGTTCATGCGCAGGAGTGAGGCGATCTGCGTAGCATCACTCGGCGTCAGTCGATTGTCACCCAGACGGAGTTCACGTACTGAACTGTTCGACTTCAGTGCTATCACTGAAAACACGATAATGATGGATTTAATAAATAAATAAACAATCAAAAAGACAGCGCGTTTGTTGCGAACGTGTGTCCAATATATATATATACATATATATAGTATAAAACCTTTTATCTCCCCTTTCTTCCCCTTACAACCATTTTTTCGCATTAAAAAGAAGCGTATGTCCATTACCAGTATTCGCTCCACATCTTTAGAGCCATGCCCCACCTTAGCCGATCTAAAACTCTATGTCCCCGCCACCCCTACTTTTACTTTATTTTTTTTTGTTATGAAATATAAATAATTGGTTTTAGGAAAAATCACTAGGAAATTATTAATAAAACAGTAAGTAAAACCTAATGAAAAATTGACAATACATCCATGTAATTTTAATAATTAGCCCATTCAATTTACAGTGTAGGCGCACGTTAGGAAACACTATCTGTGTACAGAATTTCATTTAAATCAGTTACTTTAGAATTTATAATATTAGTAAGGACATACCTAGACACAGTAGCGGCTCGCCTGACAGCTGCGCCCGCTGTAGTCCGAGAGCCCGCAACGAGCACGAGTGCGGGCGCAGCGCTCGCGCCAGTACTGGCGCGTGTGCCGCTTCCAGTACACCCTCGGACACTTCCAACTCTGACACTTCTGCGCTCTGAGTGCAAAAAAACGATGCTTTAGAAATATATTTTTCTTATACTACCTAGGTGGCAAGCATGCATACGGCCCTACTGTTGGTAAATGGTTACCGAAGCCTATGGACGGCTGAATGACCAGGGTTGTCACATGCGCGTTGACCACCCTAAAGGAACCTTAATGTATAGGCCATTCTGATGGTAAGTGGTTACCCCTGAAACACAAGGGGTGTCACGTCCGCGTTGCCGACTCTTAAGAAACATCATATATATTTTTAATGGTACCTTCTTGATCATCCTGGAGGCCGCCTGCCACCCCCTGATGCCGTACTGCCTCTCTCCGATGATGCACACGGCCACTGCGCTCTCATAATATTCTATCATATCGAATAACGCCTCCTGAGGATTAGAAATATAAATTTTACAAAAAAATCCTATTTGGAAAACCTACCTTAAAACTATAACGTTTAAAGCTGGATTTCACCAATCGTAGTATAAACACGTTCAAGGAAACGGAGTTCAGCGTGAACTCGAAAAAAAGAACAACGTTGATCTCCTTTTACTTTAAATGGAATTCACCAACATTATACAGATCGCGTTTACCAAAATGAAGTTTAGATTTTCATTTGTTTACAGTATTACAAGTTCATAAAATAATATTTGATGCAATGGGTAATTTAAATAAAATAATTCTAAGAAATATTTGTAATTCAATCATGTGATAATTAGGATAAGTTTTTTAATTTTTAATTTAATAAGTACCATCGACTACAAAATATAAAACAACCTTTACCTATAAACTAGTAAAACGTGATTTTATTGAGGATTTTTTTTACACTACTGGTAATTTTCTTTTTATTCCCGATATTATACTGTCAAAAGTTTGATTGATGACTGTTTGACAACTGACAGCTGCTTTAAATACGCTTAAAGAGTTAACCGTAGGCAATCAGACGTTCAGGATTTATAAACGTATTTAGCGGAATTTGTAGTGGTGAAATGGAAAAAGCTTTGAACACGTTTAAACGTTTTAATAGCGTTCAGTTCGAACTAAACGCGATCAATGTCTTTGGTGCAATCCGACCTACGTCGAATTTCGTTAATTTTCAATTTAGATCGACGACGGTAGTCTATCGGTTGCCATTATGTTTTACCTTTTTTTCCGTTTGTATTGATGAATATAATTGTTTGTATCGGTTTACATTTTTTTTATTGGGGATTTGGGTAATTGTCAGGAGCTTGGACCTGTTACACTGCGACCTACATAGATCTATTGTGCTCGTCCTGTTTCAGAGTTCGCTACCTAGCTAGACCCTTCAGGGACAAGAACGTAAAGATTAATAATTTTTAGAAGGAATAATTTTAGACCAAAATTAATATGTTCATTGTTATTTGGAATAATTATTAAACGTTTAATGTTATCACTCGTTTATAAGGCAAATAAAAGATTAAAAATTTTCTCGTAAATTGTACGTCACTTCAAAGTTTCATCGCCCATTCGATTCCGATCTGTCTGAAACGAAAACTCTTAACGGCCGAACTTTAAATGAAGCATTAGAAAGAATATCTCAAATCTGAATTTAAATGACTGCGTATTATTGTTAACATGTACAACATTTTTTTTTAAAAGAAAACCTGTTGAGTTTCTTTTTAGTTGTTCTCATCTGGAAATCATTCCAAACAGACGGTAGATTTGACATATCATAAGATCCTGTAATAGACCTACATGAATAAAGATATTTTGAATTTTGTATTTTGAAAATACAATATCTCACCGCCGCCTCGTCGTCGAATATCGCTCTCTGCACCTCCAACCGCCGGAATTGAACCTTGGACAGGACCGCCTCGAGCGCGTCCGCTGGCGCCGCGCCCACCAGTGCGCAGTCCGCCAGAGTAAGACGGGGTGCTCGCGAGCCGCCGCCGATACAACTTTCCGGGAGATCCTGTTAATACCAAAAATTAGTCCTTATTAACATTACAAATGACTCTCTGTGAGAATGAATGTCTGTCTGTTGGGCTTTCACGTCATAACTACTCAATAGAATCTATACATATAAATAAAATTGGAGTGTCTGTTTGTAATATTGAAATAACCGTTTTTTATTACATGCATATGAATATAAATGCGGTACATACACCAAAATAATTTTTTTATAATTTTTCTCTGTCTGTCTGTTCGTTCCGACTAATCTTTGAAATGGCTGGACCGACTTTAACGGCATTTTATTGGCAGGTAGCTGATGTAATAAGGCTACTTTTGTTCTAGAAAAATTCTCTAACTTTTTTTTTAATTCCACGCGAACATAGTCGCAGGAACAGCTAGTAAATAAATAACACCAGTCAACTACTAACTCGTATCTGTTGCAGCACGCTTTCGATAGGTGGCGTGTTGTGCTTCCGACATGATTCCAGGTAATCGGCCGAGAGCTGGGCACAACTGGTCGTTGGTACTGGAAAAAATACAATGTACCAGTTAGTTAACTTAATAATGAAATACAGTTGTTTTACAAAAAAATAATTCTCAGTATTCATATCAGTTATTATTGTGATTAATCAAGCACAATACAACCAAAACACAGTTTACAAAGCAAAGTGCTTTGCGGTGTAAATAGGTAAGACCGAAGTACTAACGTAGACAATTTATTACAATTTTGTTGTTTTACACTATGGTGAACAAGTTAAGGACCCACTTATTGGTAAATGGTAACTAGAGAGACACAAAACTCCTATACCCCCCTAGGAATGCCCCTTCCTAGGGGGTATAGGAGCCTAGTGTCTCAGTTGGGACCTCCGAGCGAGCCTTTTATCAACCCCGATATCAACTCGAGGGGTACAGACCCCCGGTTGACTGGGTTTAAGCCCTCGCTTCGTTCTCGTAATAATATCTATCTTCAAATCAAGTTTTATTACAATCTGTTCAGCCGTTTATTAATAAAAACCCCATAAATAATTATGCAGTATATAAATCTCAAGAGAGCTCATAAAAAAGTCGAAAATGGCATAAAAATGGGTAACAAAGTAATATAAGAAGAATGATGGGCAAGCTGCCAGGAACAAAGAAAGCCTCGGTGGTCTAGCAGTTTAGCATAGCGCTTAACTTCAGATGGTTGCAAGTTCGATTCCTAGCACGGTACAAACATTTGTATTTATGATTGATTATTTGTACCAGTTCGGAAGTTTCCTATGTGTATTATGAGCATGAGATCAGGTCAGCACATCGTGACAAATTCACCAAGAATTTATCACAATGGTTTCCAGGGGGAACCGCGTGGAGGTCAATCTGGCCTGGTACATTGCTAGCAATAAAATCATCAATCCACACTTTCCCACCCTACAGTAGTGGTTTAGTGGTGGGAAAAAACAATTCACACAGCGCCATCTAGTCTCAACCTAAACAGAGCTTGTGTTATGGGTACTAGACAACTGATACAAATATATAGATATTTTTTTTCGTAAATACATACTGTATATTATACATAGAAAACATCCAGACCGATACAAACAATCATACTCATGAATACAAATGTTTGTGCCGTGCGAGGAATTGAACCCGAAAAATAATTTCTTCATGTAGGACATTTTAACTGCGTATGAACGTCAAATTTTTCGTATTAATATTCTTTCCCTAAATAGCCTATTCGAGTGCAATACAGTAACTATACATTATCTGTCTCTCTCTAACTTCACAACTGGAGCACTGGGTCACAGGATGACATCATTCGGTCAGTTCCATGCAATACATAATGACGTCACTAGACAAAGTGGCGGATTTATTACTTGTTTTTTTACTTTAAATAACAATTCTTGGTTTACTGCAAAATGTACAAATTCCTGTACTTGGTTGATATATATTTTATTTACACAAGTAGCATCATTGCCTTGCCTATAATCCATTATTTGTGGTCGTTGCAGTATGTCATTCTCTTCCACTGATCTCTACCGGCTGTCATATCTGAGCTTACTCTCCTTTTATGCATATCATCTTTCACACAATCCATCCATCTTTTTTTATGGCGTCCTCTCCCTTTCCTTCCATCCATTCTTATTGTTTTGTACTTACTGTCCTATGTTAATAGAAATTATCTTTATTGACATAAACTCATTACAAGCACTTTTGAATAGTCATATTTTGATTCTACCACTAATTCGGAATGCAGATTCATCACAAGAAGAATGAGCAAGAATTTTGTATGTGACTCTTTTGAAAAGATGTTTTTTTTTTATATAAATAATTACAGTATAACAAGTAAGAGGCATGCGATAATCAACATAGAAATCACTACGCACTCGTTATTAGTGTAATCAGACAATACTGTCAGTGTTATGGATTTTAAGTATTTCTATAAAAACATTATTATCGTTAACGAATTCTTCAATTTTATAGTAAGCTTTTTTATAGAGGAAGTGTTTTATATGACATTTAAAGCTTTTTTTAGAGAGATTTATAATATATTATATTATAAATATTATATTATATTATACAATATTTTAAATTATATTATAAATCTCTCTAAAAAAAGATGTATGCGCAATGAAGAGTGATTATTATTAATTTTTATATTTATTTATTTGCTTTATTCACCACTAAAATCAGTACAAAAGGTGGACTTAATGCTATATCATTCTCTCCCAGTCAACCTTAGGGATGTGCAGACATACATGAATGCGCCTAATGGAATTAAAATAGAATTATAATAAAAAAAACATAACTACGTACATACTTTAATTAAATTGACCTATTTTGTAACACTATTGTATTATATACATAATACACTAATTATATATGTATTTTAAATATCTCCTATTATCATTAATTTCCAAACTTTTGAAAAATTCTCATCTCCCCTCTTAAGGAGAGGAGATGGCAACTTACCCCCGGCAGAGGCACAGTCGGCCGGGGTTCAGGGCCCCAGGGAGAGAAACCGGCGTACAATGCGGGCAGTCAGAGCTAGCTCTTGATGGAGTATTTTGGCTATCTGTTGTTTATTGTTATTATTAATGGTGTATGTTTTATTTTTATAACTTTTGCTGGTTTTTTACTCTTAATATTAATATTATTCTTTACACTATTTACATTCAAATCTTTAGATTAATCTTACTGTCCGAACTTAAAATCCAATCATGCGTCACATACTCATTCATATTTGTAAATACTCTATTTTCAAAGGTTGTCTGTTTCTAAATCAATAGACCACAGGTTGACCTACACGCGGTTACCTTAATAAACCATCATGATAAATTCCTTGTGAATATTCCACGATGGTCTCACTGATCTGACTTCATGTTCATTTTATCATTCTCCACTGATGCCCCGCCAGCGTATACCGTTAGCTCAAGCGAGTGTATCATTCCATTAAGTTTAAATTTCATTATTTTTCATATGTATGTTAGCTTATAAGCTATTTATAATATGGGCCATGTAGGCTGAAGCATTTTAATATATAAAAATACGTGTCACGTTGTTTGTCTGCGATGTACTCCCTAAACTGAACCCATTACAAATTTGATTTACACATTGTGTGCAATTTGATCCAACTTGAAAGATGGGATAGCTTACATCTCAATTTATAGTCGCAATATTATTAACCTTAGCCACAGCAAAGCGTGGTCGGGTCAATAAAAGTAAAATAAATAAATAAAAAGTAATGGATGATCTATTATATCTGTCTGTTATAAATCTGCCAGAAAAAAGATTTAAATGTCAAATAAAACACTTCCTTTGCAAAAAAGCTTACTATAAAATTGAAGAATTCGTTAACGATAATAATGTTTTTGTAGAAAAATTTTAAATACATAGCACTGACAATATTATCTGATTACACTAATAATGAGTGCGTAGCGATTTCTATGTTGATTGTCGCATGCCTCTTACTTGTTACACTGTAATTATTTATCTATATAAAAAAAAAACATCTATTAAAAAGAGCAACACACAAGTTTCTTGCTCATTCTTCTTGTGATGAATCTGCATTCCGAATGAGTGGTAGAATCAAAATATGACTATTCAAAAGTGCTTGTAATGAGTTTATTTGAATAAAGATTATTTCTATTTCTATTAAAAAAAATTTCATTTTGACGTCGGTTAAAAAACAACAACATATTAAACAACATTATCAGTAATACAACATATAAACAAACAACCGGATCACCGGGGCCACATCGATCGCACGACTTTATGCCGTAAATATAAATAAGGCCTACAGCAGACTATCGATCCCCCGTCACATCCATTCTACCATCAATATTTTTAATAGCGATTTTAATAAAAAAAACTTATAAAAATGTACAAATTCCTGTACTTGGCTGATATATATTTTATTTACACAAGTAGCATCATTGCCTTGCCTTTATCCCATTATTTGTGGTCGTCGCAGTATGTCATTCTCTTCCACTGATCTCTATCGGCCGTCATATCTGAGCATACTCTTCTTTTATTCATATCATCTTTCACACAATCCATCCATCTTTTTTTAGGGTGTCATCTCCCTTTCCTTCCATCCATTCATCTACACTTTCCTATTTACAGGTTGCCTGTGCCATTGCAGATAGCGATAGAATACAACATATAAACAAACAACCGGATCACCGGGGCCACATCGATCGAGCGACTTTATGCCGCAAATATAAAAAAGGCCTACAGCAGACTATGGATCCCCCGTCTCACCCATTCTATCATAAATATTTTTAATAGCGATTTTAATTTATATGGCAAAACAACGTTTGTGGCGTCAGTATATATGAATATCTATATCTATTAGCTATCTATGATTATATAAGTTAGTCTTTGACAATCAATTTGACCACTGGGCATATAATTTTTTTTTGGACTACTCTAATGACGTTGTCCGCAGCTGGCCTTTACAGCTTCACCGGACGATAGGGAGCCAGTGCAGATGGCACTCCAAACCAAAGGAAGGACTTACGGAGCGGCTAATAGCCAACTCCCGCCTGACGGATACGACTTTGGTCTGAGGGCATTGCTAGGGGTTTGAACCTCGACTCAAGCAGTTGTAATCTTGTTTAATTGCTAAATTGCTGCAACATGAATATAGACTCAATAATGAACTGATCGCCATTAGAGAAGGTCATAACGGTAGTTAAGTTTCCGCACTGAATATTTGTGGTCTCACACATGCTAATTGTAGCGGAATTAAACAAAATAAAATAAATATACAGCCATTATGTAATGACACACTATTGATCTGAGGCTGCGATTTCACTGCGTCAAAACGCTGCGACTAGTCGCATGTGTGCGAGTGGACATTCTGTTATCAGTATTCCGGAAAGCAACTGTGCAGACCTTGACCAGTGTCAAAGGTTACGTCACCGTAAGGGAAACCTTATTAGGATTGCAATAAACTCTTATTTGTCATTTTTCTTAACCAACTTCAAAAAGGAGAAGGAGCTGACACATTTTTTTAAAGTCCTAATCATTCTTTAAAGGGATATA